CACACAGAATCCGTTATCGTAGATTAAGAAAAACAATAGTTATAATGTATATATTTTGTATTTACGATACAAGGATATAAATAAATAAATATGTTATGTGCTTATAAACATAATTTCATTTGTAATCAGTTGGAAATTGAGTAAAATTAATAAGCCAGTCTCTTAGCTACTTTAAAATCTAAATGCTACTAAATGGGTTTCTCCCCAATTAGGACATCATAAAAAGAAAATATTACGGTCAAAATTAGCTTGATACTTTCTAACTTGACCATTGAAAAGTTTTCAAACAAATTGTAGCTCATTTCGCATTTCACGCGAACAAAAAGTTGTTCCGTTAAACATAGCTTATTATTTTGAGGAAAACCTGAAAAGGCTCCGTCAAACAAGTTTAAGGATATATTTTAATATTGTACGCATATAAAATAACTAACGATGGTATAGCATTGCAATATCATCTGCAATAAACAAACTCATTCGTCGTTTATTTCACACATTTTTACCTTTTAAGCATGATTACTAATAACGGTTTTGTTTAAGTTATACTTTGAAGGCGACGACATTATATTATGTTCTCGGTGGTGTCCAACTACGATAATATAAACCTTTTTGGAGACCGTAAAATCATTGTTTTCAGAGGTCTGTATGGACATCCCTTAAACGCGACTTTAGCCTTTTATTATAGCAAGCATGAAACGTATTAAATCACATCAAGAACTTGGGCCATAACCGCTCAGCGGTTTGTGCCAAAAAGTTGTGAAATTAGCCACCGATTTATGGGTGAGATGCTAATGCCCCGGATAATATTCCGGCCGTTTTGCGGAATAACTGATTTACATGTTTTCCTGCGACGAGAAGTAATACGTTCGATGGTGAAAGTTTTGTGATGTTTCGAAATGATGCAAAACAAGCGCCTCAGGCCGCAATGAGCCTCTTCTCTTGTATTTATTTTTCGGTTTATATACCGAAAATAAATGTAGATGCGTTACACAATAGACTCCGTTGTACTTTGTAATAATTTTAATTTTGTCTAAATACATTTTTTATATTTAATTATTTTATAAACCTACATTATGATCGATGTCAAAAAATATATATGTATGAAATTGTATATTAAATTTAATTACTACTTTCGTATAACTTAAAAACTTCCATTATTAATAAGAACTTAAAATTATTATCTGCTCGGAACAGTGAAATACTAGGCTCCATTTCTTAATAATAATAAAATAGAAGGTAATTAGTTTAATTATAACAAAACTAACGAAAGTTCTCGTTAAAACTTATGCGCATCACATATGTATTAAAATTCTGGTATCTGTAAATATCAAAGTAACAAACTATCTGTACAAAGTTGAGTTCAGTGAGTTGACTGCGCAACACTGTAACAGCGAACTAACTTTAACAATATAGAGTTAAGAGCTTGTAGATCCAGCATTGCTTGCTTTGAGATTATAAAACTACTGAATTGCTACGCAGTGCCGAATATTCTGTTAACTCAGCTGTGTAATCCTATTAACCTTATTGCGAATATTTTAAAGTATCTTAACGTACTCCACCACCAGATGCCTGGAAGCCACTCACGTGTAGCTTTCAATATATTCAATTGATTATATATATTGGCGTTGGAAACCCAAACGATTGTTGAAAAGATTACTATTGGTAGTGATTATTAACTGGCAGTAAATGTAAAATTAGTAGTATTTAATGTATAATTCTTTTTTGACGGTTATAAGTGTACATTGTGTTACCTAAATGAATAAATGATTTTTGACTTTTGACTTTTAAACATGTGCGCTGCGGTAAACTTCGCAATATCGTCGTATTTCTTTTTGAGGATTTCGTCTATAGTTATTTTGTTAAAGTCTGTAAATGAAAACGTATTTGTTTTACAACATTATTTAAAATTATAATTCAATTTTGGTATATACGTTGCGCGTATATTGAGCGAAGTGAAAACCCCGAAAACTTTGTAATTGACGTCCACCGCCTAAGGACATATTGGAAAAGTTGCGTTTCCGTGTATAATCCGTATTCAGTATTTGTAATACAATTTTTCTCATATGTAATAATAATATAATGTAATAACAGATCACTATGAAGAACCAAGAGTAAACTTTTTGTGAATAATTTGACTGGTGCGGTTACAAAACTTGACGATACTTTAACTAAGGAATCGTTTAACAAGAAACGCGCAGAGAACTCCTAGAGTTCACGCACCAAATAGTTTTATTGGCCAAATTTAAAGAGCGACATATCAGAGCAAGAACATTAATTCAAAGTGGAACCTCTTAAAACTATGGCAATAAAAAAGAAATATTTCTTACAAGTTCTGTAATAAATGTGCAACTTGGTAATTGGACGCTTTACCGACAATTTATGTGCAACTTACGTCCGACTTCCTTTCGCTTTTAACTTGTTTAAATAACAAAACCAAAAAGTTTAGTAAAAGTTAAGTGCGTAAAGTTATCAATATTCTATGTTAAATTTAAAATGCAATTGTGACTCATGACTATTATATTGTAAGAACGTTGGGTCGCTGGCTTTTAATATATTTTTAGTGTCTAGTATCTCTTTGGAAAGATGATAAATATATCTTATTGAACACTTTTAATAATGCAGCTACTCCATTGACCCAATGTAGGTGTTTCAAATTGAAAATACTTTGTTTACTTTGTACTGTACATTTGTGTTTAGTTTTTGTTTTGATAAAAGCGACTTGAATTAGGCATCCACGTTCACCTCTCTACTGATCTCTGCTATTGCCAATTGTTAAATGAATTAATTCACTTGTGATAATATATCAAGAGTCAGTATAAATTTAATGTTCGCCAACAATAGGCGGTATTTAACCTATAAATATAAAGATTCATGCAATAGCTGTTATTGATTCCACTAAATTTGGCATCCTTTTATATTTGTATCCTTCCTGGTTTGTATTGACTTTACACTAATTTACAGTTTTTATTATTTCTAAGACCTTTATATAGTAGCCTATTAGGCAGATCTCTGGCCGAGAAGGTAGCAGGGGAGTTCCTAAAAAGGGACTTTATTATAGATAAAAGACTTAGCGTCTCCTTTGGACCTGGGCGACAACTACTTCGGAAGTATCCTCTTGATATTTCTCTACTCTAGAGTTACAATCGATTATACATAATTATTCAATCACACTAATACATATTTGTGTCTCATATAGCTTATCAGTTTTTGATCTGATCGTGTATTAACTGATATTACAAAATATTGACTTTTGCATAAGCTAGTACTTATATGTTTTTTTATTCTTCACACCTAATTTTACAATAGTTTTTAAGCACAGGAAGGAGTCTTAAAAGAGTAATGAAAAGAGCTTTTCAATGTAAGTGTTAAGTAACAAGCAACAACAGATCGTGTCGTCACAAGCGGCCGGTGGCTTAGCGCTGTGTTTACAAAACGATAATCTTACACCGAGGTGAAATATTACATAGAAATTACTTCTTCTTTTAAATTGTTTCTCTTTAACTCTATCACGCCTTAAAGCTTTTTATCCTACAAGGTTTATCTACTTAAGTTTCTAGGTAATGTATTTTTTCAAACCCTTAAAAATATTATTCATTTCATACCATACACAAATTCATAATACACAACGATATAAGATGGTGGCCCGATAAATGGCCTTTAAATTATATTAGTATTTTAATTTTATTGTTGAGGCAACTATAATCCTTGGCCCTGGGGTCTAAATCAAGAGAAGGTCAGATTGACCCCGGATTATTTCATTTTCAACGTAACCCGATCCTAGATTCGGGTCAGATTTACAATAAATATATTAAGATTACGTTAACAATAATTTTATATTGAATAGATCACGTTATTAGGACAATAGTTGAAACATTTATCGACCAACAGATTAAAAAGTAATCATTAAGATCATAACGACAATTATCCAAAAAGAGGAGACTAAAACACAACAAATATGGGATTCAGCTAAGTAAACTGTAAAAATCCAAAATGAAATAAATTAGAACTATCCTAACTATCTTAATGAATATAAACGATAGGAGAAGGATAAAATCTGAAACGTAACCGAGTTTGCTACGTAAAGACGTAACAAATAATTTTTAAATGTAAATTAAAAGTGACGTACCAATAACTCTCAGTTAACTAAATAGCATTATTTTTAATTTAATTTAACATTTAACTACAAAACAATGAGTCGTTTAAGTTAAGTTTACAGTAACTTGGAAAAAATTATAATAAGATCCATATAGATCCACCCTGAATTCCTGCATCTTGTCTTTCCATTTAGAGCTGTAAATTTAATAGTAGCTAGGTTTATAGATATATAAAAAAAGCATTAAACATAAGTTTAATGGACGTCTCTTATACTAACTCTGGGTATCTAAAACCTTTTTATGATTCAAGTGAGAGCTTTTGCGTTGTCTCAATAATCTAAATAGACACATGATGGCTTAAATACTTTTAACACTCCGTTGTCTCTCATTATTTATGAAATTTGTCGTTCGTCAAGTAATAGAAGTAACGCGAGTGGGCGTAAAAGACAGAGTAATCCAAATGCAATATATCTAAAAGGTATTTCGTATGGAACGAATCTATTTTACAGTATAAACAAGAATATTCGCGAGGGAAGGATTATGGCCCTCTTTGCGAAATAAAATCACACGCTCACGATATTGAGAATTCGGTGTTTGTTATGGGCGGAAGCGACTTATCAAAGATGTATTGTCAATTAGTTTTGTCACGGCACTGTAACTTACGTCTTATTACTTATTTACACTGACTATATTTTGTTGTATATTAGTTATTGTTTTGTGTAGTGTATTAGTTATTTTTAGTTGTATATAAACGGACACACTTTTATTATATTTAGTCTGATAAACAAAGTTATTATTACTAATATAGTTTTTATATGTTGCACATGAAATCGTTTTAAAGTAACTACTAATAAGCATTCATAACTTGAGGCAGAGAGTAAGATATCAAGCTGTTTGTACACGGCGCATATGACGGCACAACAATATCAGGATTATGTAGCTAATGTCCTCTGTGATAACCTGCTTTACATACTGGCACATACTTTAAACACAGCATTTTGTACTATGATATTGTTTGTACAAACCCAGCTGTTGGCGTATTTTAGCACAAGGTTATTTCATGACAATAATATGTTGTACGGTAAAGTACATTATATATTTAGAATCAATCCAATATATAAAAATTACTTACTATATGAGAAAATAGAAGATATTAAAGAATATAGGCAGGCTTTTGGTATCTCTAACTGAAAAATATGTGTTCGACTAAGGTTGTTATAAAACTCGTATTAAGGTATAACATTTATTTTCTTCAGATCACGCGTCGTCATTGGTGGGCAACACTGCCCGACTCCGATGTCGCATCGACGGCAAGTCCTGCGGTGAAATGCACAGTATCAAGTGGTATAAGGCCGACACTCGGGTGTACGTGTATTCGGCTTCGAAGGACGCGGCCATCAACCGTCCTGAGGGAGATATGATGGACAGGTGAGCTATTTTCATTATTCGTAATCTGGCCATGTGGCTTCATCAAAAAGAAAAAAAAAGGCTTCACCGATTCGGTATATGGACTCAATCGATTAGTCGTGTAGACAGATGAAGCACCTTTTCCCCCATCGCGGTCGGAGATGCATTCCCATATGGGACATTAGGGCTCGCGTATACCACACCTCGCCACAAGGTTTCCTGCGGGCAATGTAACTCAAGCAAAATACATATTATGTAAATAAAATAAATATTAATAATCTGCATAATTAATTAACGCAAAGTACAAAAGAACCAATAAGTAAAAAAGGGCTTTACTTCTTTCAGCGAGATTTTATTAATAAGATTTTACTTTGAACGATAAGTAGATAATTTCTTTTAATTAAGCAAACGCTGTTTCGCTTTCCGAGTCTTTATAAGCTACTAATGGTCACGTACGTTTTAATTTCCACGAAAATACTTATCTGGAATTAAAATCGGATCCATTGGAGCGCACGGGAAAATGTTTCTAAGTTTCTGTATCTCATTTTATCTGATGTAACTTCTGTTAATTAAAAGTCTACGAGTTTTTACTTTTTTAATATCTTTGATAATTTTATGCTTATTTTAAATGTCTTTGGTAACCGTGGCATTCTATTGGTTGTTATATGTTACTGACTTAAAAGCATCATGTAATGTAAAAGTTGTCATGTGGAACATAGTGTAATGGTTGCAACTCCTTACAAACATTGTGTAATACAAAAACTTGGCAATTAAAAAGAGTGGCGAGAGTTTATTGCCAGTGCTTCCCTTCCGTTCTACGCCCTTGATTTGAGAAATGGCAGTAAATGTAAAATTCGAAGCATTTAATGTATATTTCTATTTTGACGTTTATAAGTGTACGTTGGGTTACCTATATGAATTAATGATTTTTGATTTTGATTATTTTTTGATTTCGTAATTTTATTTGTTAGAAATTCAACCTCTACAGCCATTCTGTATTTGTTTCGTGATATTTTTTTCTCTTCACTGCCTGACAAACGCAGTCCATTTTTGTGTCTAAGGCAAGCCGGTCTCCTCGTGATGTTTTCTTCTCCGCCATACTTCAAACGCATGACCTACGCCAAATGCCAATACGGGTCATTTTATTACTCAATTTCCTTAATATTAAAAGTAGTTGTAAATTAAATATTAACACACAACACCGTAGTAATTTTGAAAATGAATCTTAAACATTTGTAATGACGCATCACAAACATACAAAAAACTCTCAGTAATATGTAAATATATATTCCATAGATGAGTCAATTAGGCCCGCTCGGTGTAGTAAAAGCCCCACCACGCTATATATAATATACATGGCCACATACATTAGTAGTGTAATAGTATATTAATACTACTGCTGTGGAAAAGTTTTGATTCAATATTTGAACCTTGCTATATATGGCTATTATTGTACTTCGAAATGATTTTCCAGAATAAATCTCGCTCTGTAATATTTCTAATGCGGTTAGTACATTGAATAATTTAGACAAATACGCCACGACTGCTGGCACTTGTAAATGTCATGCAGTCTAGGCCAATACAATGTTATTTTAGTACTAAACAAGCGAATATACTCTGTAGTCCACGGTAATAAGGACCATTATTACGCAGGTAGCGGCATTCAAAAGTTATTGAATGTACAATGAGATTGGAATATAGTGTAAATTACGTAACCGCTAAGCGACCTACTAGGGTTGCATTGCTTCACCTTTTTAATTCTGTTCTTATTCTGAAACTTTTCACCACACACAGGATTATGAAATTTATCGTGTTTTTCAATCACTGAAGAAATAAAGTAATATTTTTCCTATACATGGATTTTTTTCGAATCTATCATTTTGTTAGAGATACTACCTATTAAATCAAATATTTATACAGGACAAAGAAATGTAAGCATTAGTCTCGGTAAATAAAAAATAATTTCTTTACCTTTGGCTACAATCAATCCGAAGTAAGAACCAAATAAACAAATGGATAAAGCTCATAGATTCTGGTTTTAATCTAGAACAGTCGTATCGTTCAATACTAAATAAATACGTAGATAAAATACCTACCCATTGTATAGACCAGCAATAGCAACTTGTCAATAGCCGATTCGTAATAAAGGCACCCGGCATTGGATCGAACTCGTCGAGGTAATAATCCAATTGGATTTATTAACAAGTGGTAATGGCATTGCGACCGTTTCCATTGCACACCACTGTAGCTCAGATATACTTCGAATAATAGATTGGAATTTATTAGTCTAGAGAATTAATACTATTAATTAAAAAACGTGTGTGTACCTATGTACACGCGTTAGAAGTTATACTTCTTTAGCATAATAATTTTCTTCGAGAACTTTAGAGGCACGTTCCCCTTTTCGAATTGCACTTTTCTTGGCCATTTTAATGGTCACTTCCAATCGAAACGATATAATATGTACTAATCATGATATTTTGCAATAGACATTATGTTTTTTATCACATTGGAAAGGGTTTTCTCGTATAGAAATTATTATTTTGGTTTAAATAAACACGACGCTGAAAAAAACTACGCCATGACAGACAATGCTCTTTATTAACATTAAGCAAAGTGGCTTTTTGAGTGGAAGTTTCAACCGATTTCAACGAATTCGTCATTCTTACACATGTCTATTTCATACAAAATGTTTAACTTATTGCTACAGAATGCAAATTATCGTTATAGCGAATATGCGAATCTAATTCAGAAAACTTTATGTGTCCAGTCAAGGCAAACCATTTCTAACAACTAGATATTTATTGGATTTTCTTGATTTTAAATTCCCGTCCTAACAGTTCAGTGGAGGTAATTGAATCTATTACTGGTGAATTCTTCAACCCCAAAGTCTCCAAGATGCGTTTAATTGTTGAACTAGAAATGTCATAATGCTCATGAGAAAATAATCTTAGAATCGTTTATATTATAAGGTAACCTATTTAGAGTACAGCACATATATATTGAACATTATATTTTTTATAAATGCTTAATGGAATAATGTGGAAACAGTGAATCAGTTCCGATTTTTCCCGTCTCTGTTTCAAGTAGTTGCCAATACGATTAAAAATTAACCGCACCTCGTCTACCCGTGTGTCGGAGAAATTTCAAACAGACGTTTTCGATTGAACAATATTTGAAGATAATTAACATTACGTCGTCGATATTGTTCTGTTTTGGAATCAGAAATAATTAACTTCATGAATTGATTCATTGTTATTCGACCATTTCAATTTTGTAGTCTCAATAATTATTAATTAACGTTTTGAACATACGGTATGCATTAATTACTTTAAAATGTTTCTCCAACATAAAAATTCTATTCGGCTCTGTCGCGACAAATTCAAAATAGTAAAATTAATTTCAACCCCCACAAAGTTATTCAAACTAAACCGCTGCATGGCTGCGACGTTAAGTTAATTTTATTAAGGTCAAAAACTTGGTCGACTTCAGGAATTAAGCCTGTGTCCTAGTTCTCATAATTTGAAGAACACAAGTTATATAAATTTAAATTCCACCTACTGTTTTGATGTGGCCCAAGAGTTGAACTCAGGCGAGCTATAAAGTAACCCATACAAAATTGGCTCCCCTCCGATGTCTCCCGCCCCATCTGATATGCTTACTAGTGGTCATATTTATTTGCCTCCTCAAAGCTCGCCCTTTACGTGAACGACGATCTCCAGCACGACCTACCATAGCCCAATGGATGAAGTTGGCGTCCACACGCCACTTCGACAAGGCTAAACATCATGCCAACCCGTTGGTGCGTAAAAGCATCAATTATTACCCGTTTCCGACAAAAAAGGCCCCGACATGTCCTAAAAGATCCGGATGATCCAATCACCGTAGCTAACGACAAATTAGAAGCGCGGAAAATAATAGTCAAAATCAGATTAGGGTAAAAAAACCGTCTTCACCGGGGAAGGCGTGGACCTTTACTTCGTACTTCGCTGACTCCAGTTAGCTTCCGTCCTGTCCTTTAGGCAATTGACCATCCCGCGACGGCCCAAGCCGAGGTCCGAGTCTCACAGGAGTCACAGGAAAATCCTCATTCTGGCTGAGCTGCGCTCGCCAAAACAGCCCGAGCTGGGCTATAAAGGTCCTTAAGGCTAACAGTGAGATTCCATAAAAAAAACGATTGGCTCTTATTTGATTTATATTTTAATACAAAAATGTATAACGTGTAGATGTTTTGTATATTTTGTGCAAATACTGTCTGTACCTAACGGCTAACCACTTTAGTCACAACCAAGACTATCTTGAGATAGAGAAGTCATGGCTTCTTCTAAAATAACATTTAATACATATAATGTTTTTTATACCGTATTCGACTTTACCATATACAAAAAGAAATCGCTGTCATTCGTGTATCGTGGCATACCACTACGTGATCCGGGGTGAGCGCACGTAGGACATTATCAGCAAGTTAGTTAATCCAGTTACAACAGCTCCTGCTGGACAAATACTGTGAGGCACTCGGCTAGATTTAGTCCTGCTATTTGACGTATTTTTTTAATATTGTTCGCGACTGTCTAAGGATGCAAAGCTGTTATAAAATACATAGAAGGTCATTATTAAATTATACAGTACTGAATTAGTTACACACTTATAAGATTTATATAACTTATAGTTAATATTTATTACTAACAAAACACACATACAGAAACTCAACACACAAAATAACAATAATCAAAAAGATATAAAAATGAATGAAAGATAACAATTTTAAAGAACAAGGTACGTTTTAAGCGTGTGTAGTGTGTGTGTTGTGGTTGTAATTGGTCCTGGCTCAGCATTATGCTGAGGAGCAGACTGTTCCACAGTTAGTTGAAGATATTAAAAGTTTGCGGAGGCTCCTACAAAACTTAAATTAGTTGATTTATAAACATATTTTTCTTTATTTTAAATAGATAGATTCTCAATATAATCTCAAAACAAGCAAAATACATAGTTATGTTAAAGAACTGTACATATAAATATACTTTA